TAAGACTTCCAACTATTTCCACTGGAAACTATTACACAATAAACCTGCATTTATACAGTAAAATATTATTTTAATGACCGTATTATTCCTCAACAAAACCATTGGAAGGACAAATAAAAGTTACCTGCTACGAAGGAAGATGTGTTTGGCCTGTTTGATGATCTTCTCCAGCAGCCCCTCATTGTGCTGCAAGCTGGAGATTTCAGATTTGTCATAGGCCTGCGGCCCTGCCAGGCGCATCCGTTTGTGCCCAAAGGGGGCGCTCGCTGGATGTGGCATCACCACAGAGCTCAGCTGCTGCTTGTGGAACTGAAACAGAAACAAAAGGAGTTCATGAAAGGTGATTCAAAACAAAAAACATCAAGTTAAAAACTTGTACTTGTGGTCGTTCTTGTTATAAATGATTTGTTTCAGACAGTAGCAGTAAAACTGTATTCCAATAGACTAATGGTTATATTTTTAATACAATAACATGGTAAATATGAAGATAGCGCATACAATCTTCTGATTATTTTTTCTCTCTTATCCTTTTGAAGATGAGTCCAGTGAAAAACAAAAACACATTTCTAGACTGTGTAGTTCGACTGATACATGATTTTTAAGGCAGATGCCACTATTGATAGTTACATGTTTTAAAAATATGATAATGATACATCAGCTGATGTTAATATTCTTATTACTTCATACAACAAAAGGAGAGCAACAAATTAACTTTGAGCAACACATACAGTAAAATGTAAGTCCTCATGACAGACAGGCCAGTTGGGACGTCTTCTGCACGTTTTCCTTTCTGTGTAAATGTCAGCTGGCAAATTACAAATATCTGCAATCTGCTTAAATCTGTAGACAGCCAGACTTTACTTCAATGAAGCGTCATTCACCTCTCTCATCATTTGGTGCAGATTGTGTTCCAGCACATAAAGGTGGTCGTCTGGTTTGGGTTTCTCAGGAGACGCCTTGTGGTTCTTCTTCTCTCCTGTAGAGTGGCACAGAGAGATGGAGAGCTGCAGACCTAGAAGAATGATCACAGGGACAAACATGAAGTGAGATTGTTTTTATGACTCCATAAAACAATTATAGCCAACTACAGGGTCAAAGAGATAATATAGAATAAAGGAAGGCAGGAATGTTAGATTTACATGCTGAAGTTTTCCTTAAGTGTTGTTGATATGAGAGTCTAACCTGGGAAAGGCTGTGAGATGATCTGATTCTTCACAACAATGTGAGGGATCTGGGATTTGATCTGAACTGCTTCCCTTGACAGCTGCGCGAAAATCTCCTTACAGAGCAAAACGTTTTGAGCTGCTTCAAGCTTCACATGCCACGCCTGGGTTCCTGCAGGGAGAAAGAAGAAAAGAAGAAATAAGAGATGAATTTGAAGAAAGAAATATCTGAAAAAGGCAAGAGAGCTGAAATAGGATTCTTATTTGGGATGTGGGGAATAATCAGACAGAGTTCATGGATTGTCATATCTCTTCAGTTTTGAACCTACCAGCTTTGGTTTTTGGAGGTCTCCTGAACAAGTTGACAGTTCCCAGATCACCGATGTCTGGAGCTTGTTTCTGGATAGATACCTAAAGACATAAACAGCTGGATGTTTATGACATCTACAAAAAAAGTGTGTGTTTGGTTGCGGATGAGAGAAACACAAAAATTGTTAAGACAAATTAATAATTAAAAAATCTTTATCTGCACTACACAGGTAAACAGAGTGCACAAAGGAGTCCTACAAAGCAGCCCCTGAATATGTACTGGTGACTCATGCAGCGTTTTCCTGCCTTTTTACCCATTTTCTTGATGTATAGTAACAAGTCATGAGTATGCTATTAAATCAATACAACACAATCCCGTCAACAATGTGAATTTTAAAGGCTGGTTCCATTCTTGAGAGAAGTGATCAAACATGTTTTCCTTTCCTCTCACCTTGATATAAGCAGATCCCTCCAAATCACTGGGGATCTGGACATCAAGGGGGCAGTAGTCCTCTGGGATCTTTTTGTCCAGATCAATGTCTGTGTTTTTGATCACCTCAAATGTGCCATGGTGAGGAAAAAGGGAACCTGGATGTGTAAGTTGTGAAAAGTGTCAGTTTGAGATTGAACACAATAGGACAACTTTGCCTACTCTAAAGCACTTTACAGATTTTACAGGCTACACATAAAATACCCCATTACCTGCACTCCTGTAGCTGAGGTCTCCTAGGATCTTGTCACCCACTTTGCGTAGTTTCCACTGCGAGCGCAGTCGCAGCAGCTCTGAGTTGAAGTCCCTCTGCCTCCTGTTCTCCTGGTTCTCTGCTACCGACTTGCTGAGCTTCTCTGCTCCCTTTAGGAGAAGCTGCGCTGCTGTGCCCAAAGATTTCTTTTTACTGATCAACTGGAACACCTGGGGGGTCTGAAAGGTGCAAGAAATAGCTGTTACAAATGGGCTGAAGTGAATATGTGCTCTGTGGTGCCCCTCCTGTAAATGGTAAAGTACTTACCTTGTTAGCTGCTGGGTCCTGAGACACTGGGTCTAAGGCCATGTACTTCTTCTCTTTCACCACACTGAGCACGTCATAGAGTACACACATCTCTGTCAGGGCACTGCGAAGATTGTTACGCACCGAGTCCCAGGGCCACAGAGATGGCTGAAACTTCACTGTACCTGCGTTATGGACAGAGAAAGAAATCATTCATATAATTGTTAAATTACTGTCTGATCTTTTTTTTTGGAGTTAATTTTGTTCTGAATCTACCCACCTGTCATCGTCTAATATGTCTTTGAGTTGGTTATTATTTATCAGAATCAGATTTATTGGCCAGGTATGCTTACACACACAAGGAATTTCACTTTGGTGAACTGTGCTCTGTTATGTACAGGTACAACATTAAATATCAACAATAAACAGAATAAGAAAATACTAATATTTACATGACTAAATATGAAACAGTGCAGTGGTGAATAGTGCAAAAAGATGCTGAAGTAACATGATGAGTAAAATGCAGTTATGTGACAGATGGGTCAATTAAGATGTCAATTACAGTATTTACATAAATAAGTGCATAGATTGATAATTTAAATTAAATAATATACACATATATGTATATTCACAGTGACGGATTGGATTAGAGTCATTATCAGAGTAGGTTTCTGTATGATCTTGTGATGTGAGTCCTGAACTTTCTGTTTGTTTCTCAAAATAACATTATCACTTAATTGAAGCCTCACAGATTAAAATATCAGGAAATAAACAATCCGTGAAAAGTAGAAGAACTTGTTTTTGTAATTATGTAATGAACTCATAAGTGCAGGACTTCTAAAGTTAAACTTATGTAGAAATAAAATGACTAAATTTCTGTTCATCAAACTAATTTCCTAGTTTCTGATCATTCATTTGATTGAATCCAATACATTATTATATATTATATTACATTACATTATATTACACTATTTTGTTCATATTAAAGATCAAGATAAACTTTATTGATCCCCCATGGGGGAAATTTTTGCATTACAGCAGCTCAAGAAAACAGGAGATGGGAATATAATTATTAAAAAAAAAAAAAAAAGAAGTTAAAAATCAAACATATTTAGATCAGTTAAATAAAAAAATACAATGGAAAATTAAACAGTAACTACACTGGAATATTACACTACATTATATTATACTACATTATATTATATAACTGCACTCTGCATTACTGTGGTACAACACTGCCTCTCTTCTCTGCTGTTTACATCACTTTCAGCTATTTATCACACCAAGTCACTTTAATCATCACTTGTCACTTCATCTTGTCTCAACTCCATCATAACTTCTAACTTCATCATTCATTTTGTACTTGTATATACCCTCTGTTTTTATTTTTATTTATCTTATCTATTCTGTTTAATGAGTATTTTTGAGCTTTCTTGTCTGTGCTGCTGTAACGCCTGAATTTCCCCTCTGGGGATCAATAAAGTTTTATCCTAGATCCTATATTAGTTCCTGACCCTTCGGAAACATAAAATAAATGATTTAAATGTGAGATTACAGCAGAAATGTGTTGATTTGTCTATGGACGTTACCTTCTTCTTCCTCTGGCTCTTTGCTCCACTCACGGTCCTTGGGTTCGCTCTCTGCTCCATCCTCCTCAGATTCTGATCCCTGGCTGAAGTCGATCCTTTGGGCCAACTTCGCCAGGTTCTGGGACATGGACAGAGGGGGGACATAGGTCTCTGTCCCATCCAAGGCCACTTCCTGTACCTGCTTCTCACAGGAGGACTCAATGCTCACGCTCACAGGTGGCCCACCTGACATGATGGTGATGCTGAAGTAAAGAAAGGAAGAAAGCAAAGACATGAAATCATCCAACTATCTCATGTGATAAAAAGAGCAGCAGAGGGATTCTCTCAGAGGGATTTGACATCGCAATAAGGCAAGTTCAGTAACTGTAGAACATGTTTCTTTATACAAGTACACTGAATGTACAATGAGAGAGTGTAAAAAGCTCAAATAGCAGCAGAACAAAGTGGATTTCATTGTGTATTGTTGCAAGTAGCTTGTGATGCTAGCCTGAGGAATAGCTTACATCAACCTCTGCGCTGAACTAAAATGACAAATTAACAGCGTAGAACTCGGATAATAACCCAAATGACAAAAGCATCTTAAATGTGTGTAAATCTTACCTGTGGTATCACAAATTACACCTGTGTGCGCGAGTTTTCACTGTAGATGTGCTCCACTTTCTGCTAGCGCCGTGTATGGTTCATTCTACGCTTTTATTCAGGCTGAACTGCGCTCTGCTGCCCCCTAGCGGCAAGCGGGTGAACTCGGCGGCGGGTAAAGTTTATATTAATAATACAACTAATTTAATATTGATTTGATTTGTGAATAAATTGACTTTGTTTTTCTTTTCGTTTTTTTGAGTAGTTGGTAAGGCTGAGCGTAAGTAGGAACTGATCAGACTATGGTAGGAACCAAGAAGTTCATCTTTGTAACTACGGGCAGTTCAAACTACCGGATGTGACGTCGAAACAAAAGCGTTCGGTCGTTTTTTTCGCAGGTTGGCATGGATTTGAAGAGGTAAACAGTAAACTTCTAGGGCTGATATTGGACTTTGTGTCGTTTCCCCTCCATTCTTTAGGCTTTTATTATTCAAGCAGCATTAACTTTACGATTAATATGTCTCCTAAAACGGTGTTTGATGGGAGGGAAAGCCTTTAACACGGTGTAGGTAGAAAACAATAACTATCAGAGCTGCTGCGCTTCCTGCTGTTCTCTTGTGAAATGTCCTCTCGCATGTTTGATGGAAATGAAGAGAAAAGTGGGAAAATTGAGGCCGAGTCCGAACGAAGAGGCTCGGATAATACGGGAGGAACATGAGAGGAGGAGAAAACTGCGAATCCAACAGGTAATGCTCAGGTGTAACTACATAACTTCATCATGATAATATCTCTCTCTCCTTTACTGCAATCTGTTCTGCACATGTTTACATTTGAGATGAGATGAGATTCAACTTTATTGTCTTTACACATATACAAGTATAGAGTAACGAAATGAGGTTTGGCATCTCACCAGAAGTGCAAATAAGCAGAAAGTGCAAGAGTCTGTGCTATGTACAGTAATTACAAAATTTACAGATGTAGACTAAAAAAAGTGAATTATTAGGTAAATCTGGATGGCTGGATTAATGGGATGCTATAAATATAAATAAATGCTATAAATATAAGTGTTTACAAATTATCCCTGCACTCATGTTCACTTCATTTGTCTGTCTACTCCGTTATATTGAATAGTTTCTGCTGATAACATGTCTACACTCCTGCACTTTAACTTATGTCAATACTGTCCATTTTTCACATTTACATTTAATCTTTCATATTTAAGACTAGTAATGCTAAATTAAATCCTGGTTGTATATATTCCCATTCTTAGTTTTGATATTTTTAGTGCTTATTTACTTTGTATTTAATATTATATTATGTTTAGATTTGCTAACATTGTGTTTTTTACTCATTGTGTGTTTGGACAACCTGCTGCTGTAACGCCACAATTTCCCAGTTTGGGATCAATAAAGTAACTCTATGCTATGCTATTCTATTATATTCTATTCTATATTCTATTCATTTGTCTCTGCTTTCTGCATCATGAAATATCAGTTCATCCGGCTTCTTGTCAAACAAAAGATTCCTTGTTCAGTAATCATCTGTACATTTGCAGGTTCAAACAATATGAATAAAACTTAACTTCAACATCTCCTATTATTTAATACACAGTAGAGATTTATTATGGTCCATGTTATGTCTAAGTTGGGGAGTTATATGCAGACGATGTAGTAGCATAAATTGATTTTCTTTCACCCTATTACAAACTGAAATGCTGTTTGCAGATATCCATATTTTTAATCAAGTTGCTCAATCAATGTCTGTGTTCACCACATTTTATGAGATATAATTCCGTTTTGCTCTCCAGGTGAGGGAGCAGCAGCGGAACATTGCGCTGCACATCCGCCGGGAGGTTGAGCAGAGGCGGCAGCGAGAGCTGGAGAAGCTGGGAGAGGAGTTGAGGGTGGACTGGGAGCGACAACAGAGGGAGAAACTCGACACACTGCAGAAGTTATACCAAGAGAGCCTCCAACTTCTCGGGCAGGGACACAGGAGTGCTAAAGAAAATGTAAGCGTAATCATTAGTCTAAAAACATAAAGCTATATCCCGTCTTAATTTGCTGGATTTCTTGTTGTTAGATGAAGATGATAGCTTACTTGTCAACAGAGCTGTCTTGAGGACTTATGCAAATCTTAATTTTGATTTTTTTTTTTTGCACAAGGAACTGGACTTGGCAGCCTTAGCTCGAAAGGAGGAAGAAAATCATGCCAAAGCAGCGGAGCGTCATCGAGAAGCCTTAAAAGAGCTCAAATCACAGAGGCTTAAAGATCATGAGAGTCAAAACAGGTAAGCAGCATAACAAACATGGTTGATGTTTGCATGCATGAATTTGACAACAGTTAATTGAAAATTAAGTCTATTCCTTTTTTTTCTGAAGGTGCATCAATACCAGAAAGAAGGCACTGCAGGCAGAAAAAGAACGAGCAGCTAAAGTGGCCAGTCTCCCACCGCCTCCACCGAACCCCATTCAGGTAATTTGTCCCATGAGGAATATAATAACACTATATTCTGTTATAAGTTTGCATTACAAGCCATCTTGATTTGTCTACTTGCATTTAAGTTCATGGTACAGTAAGAATAAGTTTGACAGTTAAAAAAAAAACTTTACTCTGTCTCTTCATTACTGCGATTTCTTTTTCCCTTAAAAACAAGACGTATACAAAAAGATACAAGTCTAAATGTTATCTTTTTGGAGTCACACTGAAACCTTCTACTTGCTGAATGAAAAATACAAATTTGCAGATCGCTAAAATGACATGTAATGTTTGATCTAAAAAGATTCTCTCTGAGGCAGTTGTTTCAAAGCAGCAGGACAAAGACTGTTGACGGCTATTTTGATTAATGTGAGCCTACTGTTAGTGGAACGTTGCACGTGAACCAGAGCACTACGTGGATTTCACTTCTTGAAACAATCTGGTCCGTGCTCCAAGTTTAGGTTCTGGGTTGAGTCCAGCTAACTCTGTCATTTCTTGCTCGAGCAGAACATCGATGCCAAGAAGCCTCATGTTGTAAAGAAATCTGATGTGAGCGCCTTTGCTGCCACACATTACCACATGCCTGAAAGCACAGTGGACAGAGAGGAGGAGACAATGCAGGTAAGTGTTTGGGCATATCCCAAAGTTTTTTTTTTTATCACCCCTACCTTTTAGAGTGTTCTAATCTTTATGTGCATCAACAGCCTGATGCCCATGAGGGAGCTGAGCTGGAGGTGAGGAGACTGCAGGATTTACAGAGGGAGGAGCAGAGGAGGAGGGAGGAGCAGCTTGAGAAGGCTCGTCTCAGGGGGAAGCAGGCTCTGAGGAAGGAACATCTTGTGCAGGTGCAACTTACATCTTACTTGATGATACTAAAACTGTTTGCATGTATCTGATGGGATAATTTGCTCTGATGCTACTTGTAATGTCGACTTTGAGCAGGACAACAGCAGCCCATTAAGTGATTCCATTTACTGATGGTGAATGGATGTATGTTTTTCCTTTTGGTTATACAATACATGACCCCTGAATTTAAGTCAGTCCTCTGTCGGAACAAGAGTAAATACAAGGATTGAAAGATTTCCCCGCACCATGTTAAATCTTCTTGTATCAATTTGCCAAGATCTTACATTTTGTTTCTTGTTCCTGATCTGTTTGATGACCTCCTTTTTAGGATCGTGAGCGCTTGCTTGTTGAACTGGAGCACATGCAGCAGACAGATCTGCTGAGGAGGAGACAGCAGGTGGCACATATGCCTCCTCAGATCTTCCAGCCTCTCTATAAAAGGCAGGAGACGAGAGAGGACTTCCAGAGGGAGATGGAGTTTGCCTTCGAGGACATGTATACTGGAGAGAGAAGTAAGCATTCAGTGGTGGAGTATTTTCTATTAATGTGTTTTATAACAAAAAGGTAAAAAATGTTGCATTGACAGTCTGTCTATCATTTAAGTGTCTTCAATCATTATATTGATCTTTATTTGTATATTTTGCATGACAAAGCAGCTGACATTCAGATAGCTCAAAGCCTGGGAGCACAGATTGTGTCACCCATTTCTGAAGCTAAACAATGGTTGTTGCCATATTGAACACCTACACAGTTTAAGTGGAGCCTTTTTAAACCTCGTCTGTCTGATTACAGGAGTAAAAGGTGACCTGGTGGTCCAGCTGGTACCCGAGCCTCTGCCTGCTCTGTCCACAGACAGCCAGGACCAAGCGCTGGACGTCACACTGGATGAAATCTCTTCACCAGAAGTAGAAAGCACACAGCAAGAAGCTGCGAGCAGCGAGTGTGGAACATCTGCACAAGGTGAAGAACAAACAACAAATATTCACAAAACCTAAACTAATGAGTTCTTACTGTTGTTACATGATTTGTTTTATTTCAACAAAATCACCAAAAAGATGCTTACTGTAAGAACTTTAGTCAAGCTTCAGTAGCTACAATCAGATTTTCTTGTGCAATAATTTTATTATTTGGAAATAGATTTATACCAAACTAGCATTGCATTTAAAGACTTTCTCTACATGCAGAGGTGCCCTCCAAACGTGCCCCCAGACGGGCGTTAAAAAAACTCCTGGATCGCATCAGGGGACAGAGGAACCACTGGGCCGACCAGAACAGTTGCATCTCTGCAGCCGATTCACCCCCGGCCAACACTGATCACATCCCAGAGCGAGACACCACCATAGACACCGGCTCTCTGACCAGTGAGGAGAAGGAACACCTGCCCCCCGCAGAGCTCCCGGAGCCTGACAGCTCGCCATCAGGTACGTCGTCAAGGTCATCAACTGTTCAACAGTGAATCTGCAAGAAGTGCACAATGGATTTTTTAAATTTATTTTGCGTCAGTATCTTGACTTTGGGAGGTTGTAAAATAAAGGTGTTATAAATTCCTTTCTTGAGTTATAACTATGCAGTTAAAGTACTACGAGTAAAGGGGAGTTTTGTTTTTCTCACTCTTCTGCATCTTTTCAGATCTGTAACGATTTGGTTTTAGAGCTACACACTTAATATAGTTAAAAGTTTAAACACTTAATTGTTGTGAGATAAATACATTTTTCGTTTTCTTGTATTTAATTCCACCAGCAATGGCGACAGCAGAGCCCGCTGCAGCAGATACTCTACATCCTGATGGACTGCTCAACAGAATCCAAGAGTTTGAAGAAGCACGAAAGAAACGGGTACTTTCTGATTCCAGTTGATGTAATATACTGTACAGGGTGACAGAGAAAGATAGAACATTTGCAGAGCTGTTGGTTGAAACGAGCAGAATGCAGTATGATATTAAACTTAACAACAGTAAATGTTTTCTTTACAAAGGGGAAGACATTACATTTTAATGTGGCGCTTTTCTGCATTTCATAAAGTAAATTACAGGAAGGGAGAAGTAGAAGCAAAGTTCTGAGTTCATACTAGTAGTTATAATCTGGATTATTACAGCCCTGCTCTGATTATCAAAAAACTAAATGTCTCTTTTTTTTTCTTGCGGGTGTTAATTTATCAAATCCGATTCTTATCTATTCACTTTACAATCTGACAAAAGTATCCAAAGCCTGGTTCTACTCCTTTAGCAACAGGTTCATTTGTTTTTGTGATTGGACAGAATTTATGGATCCAGGTGCTTCTCATTACTTAATTAGTGCAAAGTGTTCAAAGTGGTTTTACATTTCAACAAGAAACCTCCAGCTCCTCTGAACCTGCAGACACTAGATGTGCTGTTTCAGATTTGACATACTGAGAATTTGCTTTGGTAAAGAATTTCAAATGAAGACCTGAATATCATGATGGTAGCTGGTGGATGTTCAGCTATATCCTGCTGACTCCTGGCTCCCTGCGAGTACCTGTGGAGATGGATGATCCGCTATTCTATCTATTTCACAGGAGCAAGAGGTGGAGATTTAGCGTTCATTGCTTGTTCTAGTACAGGAACTTGGTATGTTTTATTATGTTTACCCCACTTTTCAGGCAAACCCATAACTTGCACTATCCTTAAGACAACTGATGCCTCCCTTTTTTTTCCCCTTCCTCACCCTGGCTTTTCAGGTGATAATAAGGCTAAGTTTTAGACAGGGTTTGTAATCAATGTTGTGGAAAAAAGCAGTTGCCGATTATTTTTAAATTACTGTATTTTTGTGTAGGAAGAAGAATTAGAGAGGGAGAAGCGGCAGCAGGTGGTGTTGCTCAGGAGCTGGAGGAGCAGAAAGCCAAATTGGAGCAGATGCTGCTTGAGGCCCAGCAGGAGAGAGAACACCTGAAGACTGCTGTGACTGAAGAAGTACCTGTAAACCCACCAGAAGTACTCATCCAAAGGCAGAAGTTAACCTCTGTCCCCTCTGGCCCAGCCAATGAGGTAGGCCCTTGGTTAAGTTTTAACGCTGAGATAAAATATTTAAAGTTGTAGCCCTGCCATTGTTTTATAGTGTCCTTTTTTAAAGTGTGTCAAACATGTTAAAGGTGCTTAATTGTGACTTACACTTCTCTGCTCTACAGCTTGTTCCTCCTTCAGGTGAAGATGACCACAGCAGCAGGATACGAGAGTACCAGCAGCGACTGCTTGAACAAAACAGGTTTGTTAAAGTCTGAATACAAACTTTCTTTTTTTCCCACCACTGCTTTTTCTTTTGAGTATTCTTCAACAAAACTCTTCTTCATTCCTTGGTCCAACCTTTTAGAACTCACCAGAGATCAGTGGAAGTCGCTCGCCAGCGCCTGGAGGAATACCAGCGAGCTCTAAGAATACGATACAACATGACTGCTGCATCCTCATGGTCAGCTGTTGTACCTCCAGGTGTCGTTCACCTACCTCCTCAAAGTGCTCCACCGGTACATCTTCCAACTCCTCTCCTACTGCCTACGACTCCTGCAGTTTCTGCATACACCCGTGCTAAACCACAAACCTCTGTGCAAGTTCCCACTAAAGAGTCTGACGTGTTGTCCTCTCCTCCATACCTTACTGGCTCCAGTTTGAGGGTTGGCTCCAGGTTGTTGTCAGATGAAGGGGAGTCAGTGTCAGAACATTCTAGTAACCAGAGACCCGAAGTCACCGCCTGGCTGACTGACAACATAATGGAGAAAGTAACAAGGCACCTCAGAGAGCGAGAGGGACCCTCCTCCTTCGCCTCAGAGCCACTACCTTACAAAGCACAAAAAACACACCAATCAGCCAGCATCCCACTCCAGCCAACCTCTGATACCACCAAAGCCAAAGAATCACAGAGGACGTAACTGCTCACCTTTTAGGTCGTGAAGAGGTTAAGACAGTCCTCCCCCCGCAGACTGGATCCCTCAGCTCAAGAGAAGACGCCATGGAGACGCAGAGACGGGAGCTGCAGGAGGTCCAGAGACGGTTCCTGGAGCAGAGGGAGTTGTTGGCGCTGCAGGAGAGACAGCAAGAAGAAGAACGACGCAGACAAGAAGGGGCGAGGGAGCAGATGAGGCGAGAGAAGGAGACACTGCAGGCTCTGATTCAAAATGATGCAGAGGTGAGTAAATTTCTGTTGTAGTACACTTTACACATCAAAGTTTGTTCCTACACAGGTTTAATCTAAATCCAAAATTTAGTAAAAACTTAAAATGTGTAATCCCATTTTGACTGCAAGAGATGACACTCCTTAAAAGCCCCTTTTTGAACTTGCAACAAAGATAAGCAATTGGAAAAAAACAGTTTTCTTATGTATTTTCTCACCAACAGCCACCTTCAGAGGCTTCCAGTGAAGTGTCGGTTTCAGACGACATCAGCCAGACTCGTCTCAAAATACTTGCTTCTCTGCTGAGAGCTATAGAGGAGACGAATGGAGGAACTTTATCACACCTAGAAGAAGATCCTCAGGAGAGAGAACATCCCCCGTCTAACAATGAAGAGACAGGTATGTGACACGCTGTCTCCCATCTCGTTTTTTTAATTGAAATGTTTTGCGGATGGATGACTAACGATAGATAACTGCTGTGTTTTGTTAGGTTCTGTTTCCCATTAAACTCATTCAAAGCTCTAGTAGAATATAAGACTCACCCCTAAAGTAAATCTAAATACTGTAATATGATCATTATTTATATTTTTCGTTTTAGTCTCTCTGAGTGATATTCCTGCTGGACCGTCCTCAGCATCAGTCCCTTCCCAAGGACTCCTCCTCGCTCCTCCTCGAGCCGCGAAGCCCCCAGTGACCCGCGTCCGGCTGGGCCTCATGGAGATGACTGCGCAACATGAGCTCAGTGTTATTGAAGAGGTGGAGACACCAGTCAACACCAGTCTTGTAGCAGGTTGGTTAATCATGTTTTTACTGAATCTAAATCCATCAAACTATGAGGAGCAACATCAGACTGTTACTGTTTATTGTGTCCAGGCCCAGAGGAAAGCTTGAGGGTTCCTTTGGGCACAGCAGGCTGGGATCCACGGGAGGGATCAGAATCATCTCTGACATCTGACAGCAGTTTGCAGACACCGTCTATGGCCAGCAGAGGGCAGCAGACCACCGAAAGCCAAACTGGCTCTGGGGTGAGCTCGAGGACATCCAGCTATCTGGCCTGGAGAGAGAGACTGTTAGGGTCAGGGACATCTCCTGAGTCCTCAGAGTCTGGTAAGAAAAGGGCATGTGGGAATTGTAGTCATGAAGACGTACTGGTGGAAAGAAAACATGTCAAAGTAGTTTGATGTATCGTTGTTTTACAGATTCAGCACGTCGGATATTTTCACCAGTTTCCTCCGACTCTGGGAGAGGAGCCGACTACTCTGGCCGTGTAATCACAAGCTTCAGATCCCCCACAGAGGTAACCCGGCCAGCTAAACATGTTAAAAACTTAGTTCAGACTCTTTATTTACAGTACCTTCACTTGGAACAAGTCATCACTTCATGGAAAATTTCCAGCTTTGCATTGATGTACTTTCATTGCAATTGGCACATTGTTTTCTACATTTAAATTCCCTCTGAGGTTCACATATTGTGGACCAATGAGGAAGAATAGCAAAACCTGAGTGCTTGGGTCGAACTCTGCCTCAACCTTTGATTGTTCCTTTGTTTCTGTTTTTGCATACTGAGTGATGATGTTAACATAAATCCACCTGAAGAGTGTATTTTTTAAAATACCTCTCTTGATGGTTTCTACACTTGAACTGAGCTCAGTGAATATGTGTGTGTATGCTTGTGTCTTAAACTAATAACATTTGGATAAAAAAGGGCAAAATAAATTCAAATTTGATGAATTAAGATTGAGATTTCTTAAAGATTTATACAGCATAATACTTAGACTAGAACATGAAGAAGTTATGATAGCATTTTTGACTCTTAGCAGGAGTCACTCTTCATAAAGATCAGCTTCTTTTACCTAGGACAAAGGTGAAGATACATCATCCGGTTCTGACTGAAGACCACAAAATATTACCCTTAAATCTTTATATTTATGTGTGTGTGAATCTTTGTGTGTTTGTCTATAAGTCTGTGTGTTTCTGTTTTTGCATACTGAGTGATGATGTTAAAATAAATCCACCTGAAGAGTGTATTTTTGAAATACCTCTCCTGAAGGTTTCTACACTTGAACTGAGCTCAGTGAATGTGTGTGTGTGCATGCTTGTGTCTTAAACTAATAACATTTGGATTAAGGGCTAATTTAATGAATCAAGATTAAGGTTACTAAAAGATTTATACAGCAAAATACTTAGACTAGAACATGAAGAAGTTATGATAGCATTTTTAACTCTTAGCAGGAGTCACTCTTCATAGAGATCAGCTTCTTTTACCTAGGACAAAGGTGAAGATACATCATCCGGTTCTGCCTGAAGACCACAAAAAAATCTTTATATTTATGTGTTTGTGAGTCATTGCGTGTTTGTCTAGAAGTCTGTTTGTTTCTGTTTTTGCAAACTGAGTGATGATGTTAAAATAAATCCACCTGAAGAGTGTATTTTTAAAATACCTCTCCTGAAGGTTTCTACACTTGAACTGAGCTCACCTATAAAATAATGTGTGTGTATCTACCTGACATTATTTATTGAGTGTGTGAGCTGATTGTGTGTTTTCGATTTTAACACATTTGATTTTATTTTGGTGTGTCAGTCAGCACACAGGCCCCCTGATTCTGACTGCCTCTCTTCCACCACCATCTCAACTGGGAGCTACATCACCTCCGACCCTGAGCAAAACTTAACCACTGGTAAGTGTGTCTTGTAGTCCACACTGATTCTGCTGTTTGTTCCTGATTTTTGACAAAGTAGATGATTGCCCTTTTTAAATGATAGAAACGTATCCTGTGCAGCTCAACAGGTCAGAAAATCTACCTGAAGACGAAACAACATGTATTTAACCAACAGGGACAGTTTGTGTATTTCTTACTACATAAACTATGTGCTTCAAAATGTTAAGTGTCGGGCACGCTGATGTATGCTTAAATGCTGCATGGCATTTGGCCCCCTAAGTCCTGCTAAATGTGGTTCTATTATGCAGGGTATTTCATATTGTCAACTTTAAAAGAGATGAACATAAGTTTCTTTCTGTATATAAAACTTACAACATGCTCCATGTTTTGTTTCTGACTTTGTTGCTTAAACTTGCCCTCCTTTCTTCTTCTCACTACTTCATAGATAAATCCCTGCCACGCAAGCATTTTGCGGATGCAGGGCAATCACGTTTACTCCACGTCTCCTCTCCATCTGACCAAAGCTCAGCAGCAGCTCATCCCGGTCCAGCTGTAGACTCTCTGTTCAATGACAGCAGCATCCAGCGCATTATTGACCGATACACAAAGGAACTTAACATCTCTCTCAGCACCACAGGGAAAACCACAGGTATGCTACCAATACTACAAACATTACACTCAAGAAAAACCTCTGTTTCTTTAACTTAACAGTTATGTTTCACCAAAGACTGCATAAAACCTTTGGCATGATCTCTGTGACGTCACCTGCTCTGGCTATAATGGAAATGCTGTCTCAAGCTCTCTTTAGGTCCACCTAGATACCGGCAAAAAGTTGGAGCTGAGGCAGAGCTCAAGCCTTCAGGCCGCTTGTCAGTCAAATCAGCCAAACCCTTTATTATGAATAACCTTTAGCCTTCATAAAATAAAATAAAAGGTCCCCCCTGTACCCTGTAGCCGATAAAGAAATTAGCTATTGATACCAAATTAGTTTTTTCAACCAGGCTTTAAACATGTTTATTTTTATTTCTTCTGTTAAAATCTCAACATGGATGCTAATAAAACTTTGGGTGTCCCTCCAAAGACATTCGAGTTGTTTCTCTGTTAAAGACAAAAGTGTCCCCTTGGCACATCAAGATTTTGTGCTTGATAAATTGGTCCTGTATTTTTCTTTATTTTACAACATTGTCTCTGTTTCTGTTTTTTTGTGTGTGCTGCAGACGGTGAAGGTTCATTCACAGATGACCCTGGTCCTTCAGTTTCTCAGCAGTCTTTGGTTTGTGTCTCGGAGAGGAGCGGGGAGGATGAAGGCTCTTCAACTCATCAGTCTCCTCCGTCAGACACGGCATCGGAACAGAGGAGAGGCCTGGTCAGTACAGCACGATCTATAATCAATCCAATCCAAGAGCGATCATCCAGACAGGACCGGTCACTAGCAGAGGAGCAGGACTCCTTCAGACCTCTGATTGGCCACCTGGTAGACCAGTCGTCCTGTCTCGCTGCTGACCATAGAGACTCGACCATGGAGCAACTGGTTGGTCAACCATCAGCGCACTCGTCCATGATTGGTCAGCCACCGGGGCAGTCGGTGTCAGTGAGCATGGATCAGGGTGGATGGGATTCAACGCTGATGCGGATGATTGGTCGCCTCTCCCATCAGTCGAGCTCTCACTGGCTGAGTGGTGGGCAGGACTTTTATGCCGGCCAGCTGATTGGCGAGATGCCTTCAGAGCAGGCGACCACATGGCTGGATGAAGGAGGGGAGGAGACTCTGATGAGACCACTGGTTGGGGAGCTGGATGAGTCTGTTGGCCAGCACAGTGGAAGCTCAGGTAAAGGAAGGATTGTATGGTGTGACTGAAACAGCAAAGTTTTAAATTTTCCACATTTTAAGTCAGTTGTCCTTAAAAGCCATTTCCATATATGAACTCTTCTAGATAATTTTAGGACTTTCAGGTCCTGATATTTTCAGGACTTGCCTTTCAAACATGCACCTCACAGCAGGAGATGATCAATGTTGGACACACTCTCAGAAATCAAAATGCTCTTTCTTGACTGGATTAGATAACATAGAGCTTTATTAATCCCACCCCAGACAGATTTTCAGTTTGGTTTCAGGTGAGGGGTAGTGCATGCAGCAGGAAGAGTCGTCTGTAATGGTGACAGTTTCTGTATTATTATTATTATTATTATTATTATTATTATTTCAACATGTATAAAGAGACACAACAGTGGAGAAAAATAATGACAACTGAGGAGTCAAGAGTATGAAGGAGAGAAACTCTGCTGAGCATAAACTAAATATCACACAACCCACTCGCTTGCGGTACATTTTACAGATTTCCTTTCATCCATTCGATTCAGACATGTTTTCATTGGAGTGCAGTGCATGTGTGAAAGGGGCTTAAAATTGGTTACAGATGAGTTATAACTGTCTATAAACCAGCGTAGTTACACTCACTGTGTTGCCTGTTTATATTAGAAAACATCAAGGCCTCTGAGTGTTAGGATAAATGTGCTAACTTCATAAACAGATTTGATCCTTTTTAGGTGAAAGAACTCACGTGGACCTCGGTGTTTCAACTGAAGCCAGCATGCCGTCGTATCCAGTTTTACCTTCTGAAGCCTCCACACACAGGGCCTCCCTCCCAAGTGTGACCCCACAGTCACAGGAGCAGACCCCCCAGGACCGAGCCAGTTCAATCACCCGGAGCCAAGAGAGGTCTGAAGGTGAGATATAATGTGAAGGTGTTCAAGTATTTACTGAGGACAAGATCTTATTGTGTGGGGTCTAGTATTATTATGGTGTGAACATCTACTCTTATCAGCTTTTGCAAGATTGTAAGCGATCTTGTATATTTATTTTATGTTTTTTTTATATATGTTTCCAGTGTAAACAACCTCAGCGAAACAAACACCTAAACATAACATAATTACAACAGGGGGAACCCTCTGTCTACATCCTTTGATGTAGTCTCCTCTACCCAGCACAGGTTATGACTTATTCTTTTTTTATTATAGTCAGTCCATTTTTCACAGTCTTGATCATGTGTACATACCTTAATCCTTAAATAATGAGTCATTTTTCCCATGGAATATTTTTCCTCTACTATGCACCTGAACAAAATCTGAAGACTGGGTGAAAATTACAAGTATTATAATATAATTAAGGTCTTAAACTTTTGATCAACTGATGAACAGCCTGTTTGAGTTTAAATGCAGTTTTCAACAAATGGCCTATTTTGTTGTCGTTACGATCCACCACCGCAAAATGCGAATACTTGTGATTTTTCCCCGGTCTTAAGATTTTGTTCAGGTGTGTGTATCTAACCATTGTGCTGTGTGTTGGGCGGCCTCTATACTAGCAAGCTTCAGGCTTTTGAATAGGTAGATGTCCTTCTTTTGAATGATGTCACTAGGAGTCTGGCACACATGCACAATCCGGGGGTCCCTGGGAATCTTGTTACTGAAATTTTCATCATGAATTTGAATGACCTTGTCCCTGAATGTTTAAATTCTCTTACAAGTGTGTGAGTGATTGGTATTTATTTCCCCACATATTCTCTAACGTTTCTGCTGTCTATTGTCTCCTACATTGTTCTGGCAGGCCGTCAACCAACGATCTCGAGGAGCGTACATTATATTTATTATCTTCCTTGAATTACTTCCTTTGTAAGAAAATTAACAGTGTTTTATGTCCCTGTGTTCCACCCATTTAGTGTTTCCAGACTCTGACTCGTTCCACCCGTTACTGGCCGAGGTCACCCACAATGAAACATCAGACCCCTCCATGATGTTTCACCAGCCTGATCATGATGCGCCAAACTCGCCTGAAGGGCAGCCCACAAGGGAAGATCCAAGTTTTTCCACACCTTCTGAAGAGTTTGAAACCCACGATGATCCCTCTGTTGAGTCTGAAGAGTCACCCGAGCGTCTCAGAGCAGAGGAGCCATCCAGCTGCACGACGGCTTCCCCAGCAGTACATGAATCCTTCTCCCAGCTGATGACTTCCCAGCTCTATTCCCATGACTCTGTCCTTACAGTGTCTCCCAGCAAGAGGACAGATGTGGAGTTAACAGCTCTGAATCTGTCACATTTAAATATGTGTGACGATTCAACTGCAGTGGGTTTGCCACAGCCGGAGGAAGCCGACGCTGACACAAACTGCATTTCTAAAAAGAACAAATCTTCAGTCCAAGAATTAGAGTCTGCGCAGAGTTCAAACCTGAGGAATGTGGCTTCTTTCTCAAATATGATAATGGTATGATTTTTCTGTTTCCATTGGTAAACATGCATCTTTATTCTGACCTTAATTTACAATTGTGGTGCCTTTAGAGGGCAGTGAGTGCAAACACAGAGCACTACATAGTTCTCTCATGACACAACTGCAGGTTTTTGTCAATATTTTGGGAAATCACTTTTTTGCTTTTAAAAGTTTTTGTCTTTTTATTATAATAAAATGAGTGTAACATATTTGGCTGATCCATCTCTCTGTGTCTATTAGGAAGCTGCCTGTGAGAAGGGGATCCTGGAGCAGTCTGAGATAACCCTGGTGAGTCTGACAGACACAACACTGCAGGACCAAGAGACTACTCTCACTGATGAAGAGGACATTTGGGAAGACAGAAATCCTGATGGGTGGAAGGAGGAAGGACAGAGAGAACAGAAGACAGAGGTAGTTATCAAATCCACCGACAGATTTTCTTTGTTTCCATTTTCAGTGATTCTGAACACAATCTTTGTCTTCTTCAGGTGTCGGAATCAATGTTACTGCATGAGACTCAAGAGGACAAAAACCAAAAGCATCCAGGTAAAATCTCAACTGTTGCAGACCGATTAGATTTGACTGAAATAAAAGTCATCAAGGGTTCTGCATGCATGAGATTGTTGAAATATATATGGAAACCTGCTTCTGGTTTAAATGGGGATTGTATCATGCACAGACGCCCACCAGTACCTAATAAGCATCTCAAAAAGGTATAACACAATTAACTCATTACAAGCTTTTCCGCTCTTTCTTTCCTTCATTCAGAGGAGCTCCTGGAGTTTCAGTGGGGTGTTGTTGGTGGAAGCCTGCAGGACGTTAGTCAGCAGAAGCGCAGAGCTCTGATCCAGAGATCATCCCGCAGAGTTGAGGAAATAAAAGCCAAAGCTGCTCTCGCAAAGATTCAGCCTAACATCCAAGTGCCATCTAAAGCCAGAGAGCCGTCTATAGCAAAGGAAGGTTATCAAGTCTCCCGTAAGGCGAAGACCAACTCAGAGAGTCAACATAAAGCTAACACTAATTTAAATGAAGGACCGGCTGAGCTGCACAGAACCACTGAGACATCTGGCTTTAAACATCAGAAAAAGGCCCAGTGCCCCCTTCCAGGTATGTATAAGCCTGTCAGGATTAACATTTTAAGAGCACAGAAATTGATCAGATGACACGTTATTGGTTCTTTGAGTCATGAGTAGCAGAAAAACAAACTCTTTCACACGGTTGAGCCTTTATTGGGTTCTTTGAAACATGCGTTTGCAAAGAAATTAAACTGAAGTGCTCAGTCGAGATGCATTAGTGGCAACAATAAGACTTTCTAAATCATAACATCTTAGAATAAGAGAGCTGGTTAAATGGAGTCCATTAAATGTTAGGGGAATGATTATTATTTTTATTTTAAAAAAAAATAAAATTCCAATTGAATGAACGCTTAAATTAATTAAAGGTCAGAGAAATACTTAAGTGTAGTATGACCTGACCTGCAAGGTGTATGTAACAAAATTAGGTAGTTTTCTGCCAGTGATGTGTTTCAGTTAACGTCTACTTTAACAATCAGACAAATAAGAAACCCATGGTGTGATAGCCATTGTACAATAACTATATTTCATTGGAACAAAAATAGATTATTCCAGTATTTTTACAAACTTTCTGTTCATAATTACCTCCTGTCACTCAAAGGAAAGTCAGAAATGCATTTTATAAACGCTTTCTATCTAAGAAGTGCATAATTCAGAGGCTTTACTGATTACCTGAATGTTTATTAGCAACCTTTTTTGCCAGGGGTATAAACCTTGCATTTGATACATCCTGTGAATTGCAGCTAATTTGTAATTTCTCCGTTCTTTCAGTGAGGGATGCCAGGCTGAGAGAGGTGGAGGTGAAGCTCCTCACACCAGAGCAGAGAAAACAAGATGTTTCTGAGATGCACCAGAGAACTCAGAGGTACTGCTTCGATGTCTTTGGCTAAAACCTGTTCATTGGTTTCACTGTGTGGTTGTAGAACAGAAAAGTAACCTTTTCTTAATAATGTCCCTGTGAAGTATTTCAGCTTTCCTTAAAATTTGAAGAAACATCTTTAAATTGTTAAACGTCAAAACTAATGAGAGGAGTTTTTAGCCGGTTATGAAAAAGATTTGAAATTATTTTCTGATGCCTCTTTAACACCTACAAATGCCAAGATTCATTATTTCTTCATTTTTCATGTCTGTAACATCCGCACTGGATCGGTGTGTGATGTTTAACAATGAGTCATACATTTGTATTTACCGGACAACTTCATCAAAGTGATTATTGGTCAAGCTTTGTCCACACGGGCTGCTAAAATGTACAAACAGTTATTTAATAATAAAAAGATGTGGCAGATAGTAAATTATTGATATGGGGTATCATGTTTCTGCAGACTGTACGAGCAGCTGGATGAGGTGAAGCATCAGAAAGCGATCAGGAGCAAACAGGAAGCTTATGCAAAAAACAGACTGAAGGCCAAAGAGTTCCACAAGGTACAACAGTGTTATGATTATCAACTTTTTTATTTTAAATATATCTTAATGTGTTGAGTTTTTAAAGATTTTTTTTCTCATCTCTTCACAGAAAACTTTACAGAAACTTCGTGCCAAGCAGACGCTGCAGTGATCGACTTTGAATGTGTTTTTCTACTTTTTTAGATTTAAGTTATTTTGTGAATTTTATCAATAAAGGTTTTTAATTTATTTGTATATACCCCTCAGTGTTGCTGACTGAATGAAAACACATCTATAGCAAGCTACCATTGGTAACAGACGTCACAGCTTCCAGATGAGTTATTTTAACAAGATGAAACATTCATGAAGTCATTTACAGACAGAAAACACTGAAAGTTTTTACAATATGATTAGTTGCAGAAAATCCATAAATTCTTCCACACTGACAGATAATTGTATTTAACCTCGGATTTCTCTTCAGTTCAAAATGCACAGTCATCCTTCACAAAGATTTCTGCAGCCACTGTGAATGGACTGTTAGCCGAGTATGGGATGTTTGGCGCAGTTCATAAGAGGTCACAGTTAGGGTTACCTCTGGGAAGATATTACCCTGAACTTTGTTATGATTTATTTCATACAATGATGATTAAATTAATCTTTAGTTTTTAATATCTTATCAAAATTCTTTCAACCCAAAAATAATAAATATTTGGAAAGAAATCCCAAGAACGGTCACCTGCCACAGACACAAGCGTCAAGCCTCTATCTCAAAGTCTCGATACATTTTAATCAAATACCTACTGATTACTGGATTTTTTTAGTTTTGGTGTTACAAAAAATACAAAGCAAAAGATTCACATATTCTCTCCTTCCCCCCCAAAAAAAGGCAACAGGGAAAAAATAAAATGGCAGCTTTGTGTTGATCTGAACTTTGCCTCTGTGACATTTAGAGTTTGGAGAACTCTATCGTCTTGGGGCTTTTCTTCTCCATGGAGGCCTGAGCTGACTTCATCACATCTTGAGTCTGAAGCATGCTCATGTTCCACGAAGCCTAGAAACAAATCAACAAGTTAGGATTTGGACTAATAGAACAGAAAAGGGGCAGTTTTGCAGCATGACTGTAGCAGGATGATGTGGACAAACATCTTTGTAAGATGATGATCTTACCATGTAGTCCAGTCCCTCTGCTACACTGTGGTCTCTGGAGTAGATGAGGTTGATTTTGGTTCCCTGCACAGCTACAGGGCTGCGACCAGCGATCTCCCCGGCCATCTCCAGAGCTCCAGCCATCATCGTCTCCTTATCTGCAAACACTCGGCTGGAAGAGGTAACAAAATGTAAGTAACTACTCTAAAATAAGTGATTTGGAATTTAGCATTTTGAAGAGAAGTGCTGCTACTGCTGCATAACCAGTTCAATAAGGTTGTCACACTGGTGATCACTACATAAGCAAGCCTTTAACCTTGAACTTAAAAAAAAAAAAAAACTTGCTCAGTTTGATCCTCTTAGAGACACAAGACACAAAGATGAGCTTGCAAGTGGCATCGCACTTAGTGTAGCTGGTTCCTTCAGTTTAGTTATAAAAGTGGCTGCAGATTATCTCCTTTTCACTCATTTTATTTCACATCTTTAGAAGCAACACTGACTAAATTAACATTTAAAAAAAAAACTCTTTCATCAGCATTAGGCTTTAGTTACATTAAACATGAGTGTGTGATTTTGTAGATACCTGACCAGTCCACTGCTCTTGGCTTCATCAGCGTACATCCTCCTGGCAGTCAGAGCCAGCTCGTTCACTAAGCTGGAGAAGGTAAGATAAAAGTAACCTGTAAGTTCTGGTAAGACTTCATCTAGACTTGTTACCTCAGTGCAGCATTGGATGGTTCAGGACTCTGACAGGTCAAACATTCACATTTAGAAGATTAATCACCATAATATTGTGTTTAACATTGTTCCCTTTCCAAATAAATAAATAATATTTAGTTAAAAATACATTTCCTGGAATCTGAACTTCCAAAACACAAATCATAGAAATCAATGAATATAAGTCTCTATTCAAAGACTTTAGGTGGGGTACAGGTGGCCCAGTGGTTAGGTCACACCCCATGTATGGAGGCTAAAATACTCCAAGTGGGTGGCCCGGGATCAAGTCCGACCTGTGGCTCCTTCCCCGCATGTCTTCCTCCCCACTCTCTCCCAAATTTTCCTGCTCTATCCCCTGTCCTATCAAGTAAAGGCAAACAGCTGAAAAAATAACTCTTTAAAAAAGCTTCAGCTTAACACATACCATGACATGTTTCACTACATATAACAATTATCTTTAACTAGGGTTGTCAAGATACCAGAATTATAACCTTTGATACAATACTAGAAAAAAATCACCTGTTTCTGTAACAAGGAAAGAAAATAGGAAGTCCTCGGTAACAAGTAATTTCTTGTCTTTCATGACTAAAAACTGCAAGCAACTCTAAATACTACTGTCATACTGTCTGAATTGCACCAACACATGGGCAACATGTTGGTATCAAAGACGTTTTTGTCTTTTACAAACAGACAGAGCAGAGGGGGTGATGCTGTCTTGATTACACAAACACATCATGTTGTTGATTCAATTATGACAATGTGACCTCCTCTGATCTCTGTCTGCTCGTAAAAGATACAAACTTGTGTGTCTGTGTGAGACACTGAAAGGAATTGAGACATGTCAGTATCCGAGTATTTGCAGACCCATTCATTTGAACGGACCACTGCTGATCTCTAGTTAAAACAGGACTGAAGATCTGAAGTTGTTTTTCTTTAAGCTTCTGTTCTTTTGGAAACAATCGATCATTAAAATAATGTGGATTTTATTGTTTTACACCACATGGTTTTGTAAAGTATTGAACACTTTGACAGCCTTTGCTTTAACAGAAAGCAGTGAACCCAAACCCTGACACATTTTGGGGTATTTAAATGTTGTGTTTACCTGCGGCTGCCGATGAGTTTAGGAAGTCTCTGAAGAGTTCCAACGTCTGCTGCAAGTCCAATATCAACTTCCTGTAATGACGACCAGAAATACAGATGATTGGCTGTGGTAACATCCTCTCAGTATAAATCAGACTCCATCAGAACATCACCTGCATCCCTAAATACAGCAGCGATGATATGGATACAATAACTGTATTGTGCTCTCCTATAAAAGATTGCTTGCATTAGACATTTTTCTATTACTAAACAGAAATGTGAAAACAAAAAGTTATGGCTGCAGTTTTTTTTTTTTTTGACATGGTCTAACTTTTCTTTTACCGCCCCCTTTATTTATCCTCTCTTTGTTTTGGACCTGTACATACCTTGATCTGGAACCAGGCGTCCTGGGTACACAGGCGGATGTCACACGCTGTGATCAGGTCGACACCTGCCGAACAGAACAACATCCACGGTGAATATGATGCTTTGCAGACTCACTGAAGCTTCTTCTATTTCTCTTTTCTATATCAGTACATTTAACAACTTTCTCTCATACCGTCATTAAAGAATTTGTCAAAAGCAGGTAATTGGAAGGTTTTCTGAAGTCTTACACACCTCAGTGTTTTAAAAACTTTAGTGATTCAGTCATTTGCAAAAAATTTAAAAAAATCGGCTCATTAAGTTTCAGAGTGGGATTGAAGAAGGCCATAATCTGAAACGCGTCGATCTAATTTGTTCATAAAGTTGATCTTCATACTACAAGTTTTGCTTTTCGACCACTCATGAAGTATCAACCCAGGGCCTGAGAAAGTTTAACATGAGCTCAGTGAAGGATGTAACCCAGAGATAGACAGAGCAACACCGTCTGTGGTAAATTACTGGTGTTATAAAGCTGGAAATAAAATGACTATTGGGTGATACGCCTGTGTCACCTGTATCAATGCGCAGCTTGCAAACTAAATCAAATATATACTGTAAGTGGAGGGAAGTTAACAGGCATGAGGAAATAGATGACTGCAGAATATATCAGTGAATTAAATACAGATTAAACAAACAAAAAACTAGAACTGCAGATTTATTTTGTTTAGTTCGGACTCTTATTTGCATGTGAGGCAGGTCGGTGAGTTGTGATCTGAAGTTCCCATTGGAGATGCTCAAAGTGTAAATGTCTGTACCTAAGAGCTGTCCACTTGTTATCAGATCACCCAGGAATCATTAATGCGAGGTGTAAGGGATTCTGTCAGAGCTATAATCTGAATTTAAGGATCTGTGGACTATAACAAAGTGAAGATGATGATGCCCTACCTCCTCCCACACAGGCTCCATGGACGGCCACCACAACAGGCTTTGGACACTGAAAGTAGAAAAAACGACACTTTCAAAGCTGCCTGAATAAATAATCATGTCCGTGACTTGAAGGATTCTGTAATTCCTCCGTGTGATAAACATAATCACTCTTCAGGGCTGACCCGCTCTATGACAGAGAACGTCTCCTGATACTTGGCGATTATTTTCCTCAAATTCCAGGAAATTCTCGACACGTCGTCACCCTCCGGCTGGAGGACGTCGCTGGCCATGTCCATCAGGTCGATGCCTGTGAGGTGACAGGACGAAGAGGAGAAGCACTTTAAGACAAAAAGAGTCGGAGAGAGAGAGAGAGAGAGAGAGAGAGAGAGAGAGAGAGAGAGAGAGAGAGAGAGAGAGAGAGAGAGAGAGTGGGGAATGACACGCCCTTTTTTTTTTACACTATCTGACGCTCACCTGCTGTAAAGAGCTTCCCTGCTCCAGAAACTACCACCACTCTGCAGTCCGGGTCTTCAGCTATCTCATTAAAACATGTCACCATCTCACTGAAAATAAAAACAACAACTGTTCACATCAGGGTCTGATAAACTATTACACAAATATAACGATTGAAATATGAATTCCAGTGTTTTTTATAACAAAAGAAGTGCTTTATGAAGGACATTTGCTTCATTTAAACACAGTTCATATAAAAAGGTGTTTCATATCTAACACTGAAGAACTTTGAATAATACTGTATCGCTCTTTTTCAAAATGAGATGCTGCATCTCAAGTGGCTATCCTTAATAAATTCAAATTGAAATTCTTGCCTCCAGAACGCTTTATTCATGGCGTTGCGTTTCTCTGGACGGTTCAGCTCTACATGTGTGACGGACTCCGCAGGGTGGCTGATGGCGAGGGTGGTGTACGGAGAGCCCGGACTGCTGGAAGACGACATGGCCCTGACTGCAACCTGACCCGGCAGCCACAACCCTCTGTCTACAAGAGAGAGAGAGACGAGACAGAACGATGCAAAGTTAGTCCACAACGAGGTGAGACTGAATACCTCACAGGTCGACTTTAATAATAATAATAATAATAATAATGATAATAATAATAATAATAATAATAATGATGATAATAATAATAATGATGATAATAATGATGATGATGATAATAATAATAATAATAATAATAATAATAATAATAATGATGATAATGATAATAATAATAATAATAATAATGATAATAATAATAATGATAATAATAATAATGATAATAATAATAATAATAATGATAATAATGATAATGATAATAATAATAATAATAATAATGATGATAATAATGATAATAATGATAATAATAATAATAATAATAATAATAATAATAAGGGTTCATGTCAAATTCTCAGTCTGGCTCTTTTTTTTTTTTACAAGTAAACGAACAGATTTCTGAAGATGACACACTGCGCTCTCAACATTTAAAGGACAATCTTTACCAGTTAGTGGTATTTTCATACACATGTGTATCAAATACATAATTGAAATACTTAATGGTGACAGTAATCCCCCAGTAGAGTACTTTACACTTCACTGCAATAAAACAAAATATCCTAATACACCATCTCAAGTTACATATATATTATTAATAAAATCTATTTAAGCGTGGAATAAAATGTATGTAAATGTAATGTAAACAAACAAATATGGCGGAAAGTAGAGCCATTACATTTCAATTGATCCACATAAAAAATGTATCCGCAGAAGTTTTAATAATTAAGTTTGCAAATAAAACAATGTACACCTTTGCAGTTGTGAGTATTTTCTGCTTTTCTGTGAACTGTTTGTGTCTAAATAGGCACCTTTAAAAGAAAACCTGTGAAACCACCTTGAGATTTTGGATATGATGGGTGTTTAACCACCCTAACAAATGAAAGGGGAAGTAATTAGAGTTTTTAATTATTTGCAGCCTTGAGAGAAGTATAATAATAATAAATAAATAACAGATCTGAGCACAGCTTTGAAGACTTAATGTGAATATCTTGTATGCTGCAAACACAGATGACCTTTCACCTACATGACCAGTCAAAGCTTTTATTCACCTCAGTTAAATGTTTTTTTATTACCCAGACTGCGAGGAAATACACCTGACATACATGTGTAGATCAAACAGTATGTGGACATAACAACACAGTTTACTGAATAAGAAGTTTAACAAAGACACAGCACATTGTCACTTACATTTCTGCAGAGCTGATCTGATGATCACTGACAACATCGCTCTTTGGACGTTCAAAGTCCAGATTCTGTAGTGAGGCTGCAGAAACAAGAAGATTAGTTTATTAAATCTGTTTCCTCTTTCTCTGTAACTCTATTTGCTATCAGTGTTTTTAAAGAAATAGCCTACACCAACACAGGTGCTAGCTTAGGCTAACAGCTGTTTACCTGAACTCTTACCTATATTCTTTGGTTGTTAAATTATCTGGTCACACTCCTACAAACGTATGAAACCAGGAAACTTAGCACTGTTGTATTGAACAGTATTTTACAATAAACAGGAATAAGAACAACACTTATCCAACCTAAATTAACCTTCCTTCGGCTTCTTTTACAACCAGCTACGGTGGCCGGCGGGGCTCAAACTCGAGAGCGAAAGTTTAAGATACACAAGGATCAGTAAAATATCGTGTGACTTTCCTAACGTGTTACAACAACTCGAAAGACAAAAGCAATAATATTATCAAGAAAAGAAAACACAAGAACAAGAAGATTAAATACTAATATGATAAACGTAAAGATAAAATAAAGACTTTAACATCGAGCCTACTATTGTTTTGATACACATTATTTACACCTGAATGTAACACAAGATGCAGAAAGGGATTACACAGAAAGTGATTGCAGCAGCTGAAATATATGCATAAAGGCATCCACTTACCTTCATGCTTGTGTTATAAAGTGTTTATTAAGATGGTTGTTTTTTCACCTGTGTTTCAAGAAGCTGCAGAAGAAACTAAGGAACCAAATCTAAACATACTGAAAGAAAGTAGAGATCTGAAAGCTAGGCAAAAGGAAAGGTAAAAAGTTGATTTGAAAATATTCTTTAGCATTTAAAAAATAATAATTGTACGTAGAAATCTGGGCCATATATCCACATACTTACTTTAAATTAAAAGTGAAAAGGAACAATCAAAGATTCTACTATTAGAAGAGAGAAGGATTCAAATTATGACATGCTAGAAACCATAACCTGGATAAACTACTGTGAAGTTTGAGGTTACATTTTTTTTTATACTTTGTGAATGTTAAATGAAAATGAAAATAATTAATATTTTTTTATTTGAAAGAATAATACGGTCTACCTATATCCTAATCCTCAATATGACCCAGAACATCATCAATACAAATAAGAAAATAACAAAAGCAGATTTACTCTAAATTATTATTTAATTCTTAATCATATTATGTTGTAATAATTAATGAGTTTTCATTTTAAGTTATTTTTACACACCAGATGAACTGCCCAGTTTCAACTCATCACTATGACTGGTCCATATTTGCCTCAGAAACTGAAGATTATCTGTATTTGACATCGGTTCATGCTTTAGGACAATATGTTTCAAACATACACGACCCTCTGAAATCAAAATGTCCTTCTCTTAATTAAAAAACAAATGTTGGGCATCAACAGAAAGACGTTTATTATTTATCTCGAAGAAGTATCTCCAATGTTTTTAAATACAGTAAATATTTAAGTGTGCAAAATCTTATGAATAATGGTGGATTAGTAGAAACAGTTGAATTTATTACTTTACAGCCCAAAAAAACTTTGAAACTATGTGGTATCCTGAAGAAGGAAAGGCTAAATATTAATACAGAATAAAACTGATGCAGAAAAGTATTTATTCTGTTTCTGACAGAAAGTTTGCCTTTGATGGTTATTGCATATTTTGTAGCCAACACGTTAAAATAATAATAATGTGTGTTTTTTTTATTAATCTGACGTGTTAATTCTAGTGATGTCATTTCCACCCGAGACTTCGGAAATGTGTAAGTACCGGTAAGTAATATTTACAGTCTAAGGTAAGTACCCAATTTGATACAAATGTTTCATTTGTGCGTATTTGTGATATTTTTAGGTCTAAATGAAGAATGTAGAGTTTGATTTAGAAAAACAAATACGAATGAAAGTATCCTACAGTTGTTCCCCAACAGAAAACAACCAATTGACGTCGATGTTTCCAGAAGGGGGGAGGGGTGGAGACTAATCACCTGGACGTCACTTATTTGAGGGCCCTGTAAAGGTGTATTAATTTCGGCGCCAAAACAAGAACGGCCGCTGGACAAGCAGGAGCTTCTAAACCTGGAGAAACACATCTCTTCGAGGATTTTAGACCACTTTAAAGGACAAACAGCACAGACAGTGAGTAGACATTATTAATGTTCCGTAAAACACGACGCTAGTGCCGAAAACGAGTTAACGAGTTGCAAGGCCGCTGCAAGCAACATAATGTTACTCATTACCTCAAAAGGAGTTCCCTAACCCGCTCGTTTTCTATCTGGCGACTCAATTCAGGTTATTATTTCTTAAAAACTCAAGAAATTGAATTATTTTCGTCATGCAGTTGAACAAAACTTGGCTAAATTTGTTTAAAAGTGTCGGTGAAACTGCAGCGTGCAACGTGGCTAAGATGGCGACTTCTGCAGCGGGAGGGGCCCAACGAGCTGTGATGTGAAGATTATGTTCAAGGGCAAAAACTTTTAACCTTTCTATCATACTAGCTGTTTTAAATAATTGCAGCTGGACAAATAAATGAAGAGCAGTAAACTGTAGCTGTTTGGCTGAATGTAATTATGTCCCCCCCTCCTCTATTTAATTTCAAGATAAGGGCGGATGTTTTAACACTCAACAACTGCATTATTTTGGACGACAGTTTTAAAACTCCAGGACTTAATGTCAGTTAAACATCGATGAGAGCTCTCTGAAATACTTTATCAACAAACGTAATACTAATCAAATTGTTTTTCTTCTTTAACCCCTTTACTTTAAGTCATTTTACATAAACAAATACATGAGGTTTTCTTTTCATCACGCCATTTTCAATGCACTCAACGTGTTCGAGTTGTTCTGTATATTTTAGTTATTATATTTTCACCAAGCCTGCAGAGTTGCATGAGTACGTCACTGACCTGCAGCATGCAGTTCGCTGTGTTCACCACTGGAGGGCGCTGTTGCACAGGCGGTTGCTCGTAAAGAAGAGCTGTTTAAATATTACGCAGTGTTTTCTCCGTTTAAAATGAACTTGTATGATTTGTGGATTATTTCCGAGTTTGTTATTTAGTTTCAGACATTCTGTGTTTAATTAAACCCCGAGCTTCCATTTTTTAATCGTAAATATGATAGTAGTGTTGCTTTACAACCTGATTGGACTGCAAGAGTCACATGACCTGGAAGCGCTGCGTAACTTCACACGCAACGACCACACTTTTTAAAAAATATCACAGCTTTCTGACATTTTCTCACCTCTCACTTTATACTGCATGTAGTAGACTTTATTTCTGTCTCATCGAGTTGTTTTGGTGTTGATGAATCAGACTGAACCGTCAGTGAGACGGACCTTGCGGGGAATGACTCCCTCGCCTCTGACATATTTGTGTTATCGCTTCTCGGCCTTTTGGCTAAGATCAAGTGTAGTATCTGTTCTTATCAGTTTAATATCTGATACGTCCCCTACCCGGGGACCATATATTAAATTGATTTTTGGAACTGGGAGATGGAATAGGGGCTTGCTCCGTCCACTCCACGCATCGACCTGGTATTGCAGTACCTCCAGGAACGGTGCACCCCCCTCTACCTGTTGAAAAGCAAAATTATGAAATCTTTTTATTGTAATCATATGTTGTAGTATAACACAAAGATATCATTAATCAGACATGTAACTGTGTTGTGGTCAGTAAGAAAGATATTATTAGATCCTCAGTGAAATTCAGCTACTTCAGTGATGTTGTGTTGATCACGTCAGATTGTTTTTTTTTTTTTTTATTAGATGCTTTATTGATCCCGAGGGAAATTTAAAGCATCCAGTAGCAGGTTACAAGACCCCGTCTCATACATATATATTAACCTGAAAAAAGATTTAAAGAATACCCCTGGATGAGACAAATTTAAACTGTGCAATTAAAAATAGATTTATACAAGAAATGTACAAAACTCGTGCAGAGATAAAAATATGTGTAATTTAAAGCAAGAATCTCTAAACAGTTGAGGGACAAAATCTGTAACATAAAACATAAAAAAGTGTTGACTTACTGATGTTGTGTTTCTATATGTACAGCAATGTTTAAAAAATAAGCAGATGATGCAGAGTTATCAAGAACAGACATTAAATAACAGGCAGTGCAAACATTAAATTAAAGGTGCCATTTAAGTAATTGAGGTATTATCCAAAACTAAAACAATGTGTCAGAGTGAGATTGTGATTTTTACAGAAACTAAACACATCAGGATCCAGACTATTTATTTAAAAACTAGGTTGTCAAGAAAAGTGAGGATTGAATGTAGGACAGAGGAGCAGACTCAAAATGAAAAATGATCCTCTGATTTACATTGCTTTGGATAAAAGTGTGTGCTAAATGAATTTTTTAATGTCAGGCCTACTGTGTAGACATCGTAATGCTGCCTCCAGTTTATAATGTTGTTTTCTGGAGCAGCCCGTAATGTGTTGATGATGATGACTTCTTTAGTTAATTTGCTCATATGTTTATTTATCAGACACTGAAGTACAGCTGAGCGCTCGTACGTCCACATAAACACGAGTCAAACTCAGAATATTTTATTTTGGAAGTTAGGAGAAATGTTGTATGAAACAATATAAAAAGGTTCAACTTTATTCGAACACAAACCTTTTTATGGTAGAACCAGCAGCGGTCTCTTATTTTGTTCTCCAGTTGTCTTTCCCCCTGAGCTATTAAGCACCATAAGATAGCCCGACCCTCCAACCCTGATATCACTCACACACTCGAATATTCATATTCACACTCAAACTGTGTTTCTGCCCGGCATTATATGCGCTCTATACATTTAAAAAAATATATATATATTATTACAATTAACTGTGTTTTTATAACACCTTTCTTAACCAAGGTTTTAAAGTGCTTGAATCAACAAGTTAAAACAAAAAAAGTAGTAACGTTTGCTCGAGACCCTCAAGTGTTTTGGAGTAATGACGATTTCAGGATGGAATGCTTGTTTACTTTCAATGTTTACAAGTTGGCCTCTTTTGTCACTAAAGCCTGGAGGAAACGCCAGGATGGTTTATATTGTTAGTATTGTTTGGCATCTAATTTTGTTTTTTGGTCTGGAATCAGAATTTCATTTTATTTTATTGTACATCGGTAAAGTGACATAAAGCTCTCAGCATTCATAAGATAGACAACAGTTACCATTTACTAGTTTCTGAGCTGCTTTCTCCAAACAGCTGATCAAAAAACAAATTCTGTTCTATCTGTCCATAGATAAAGTGCAGTAAACTGTACTGCAATGAATCCTACTTTAAGTGTTATAAGTTGAATTTCTTGTGAAATAATTAAAAGGTTGTGTTATTACTTCAGGCTATTTAGCTCTGTGCTGTTCACACTCCAGAGCAGCAGG